AAAACAATTTGCTTAGTTAGGGACGGTCTTTCCAACATCCCCCTGTCTCGAATGCTACTCGAAAAAAAAAAAAAAAAAAAAAAACGAGAAGTGATATCGAGAACAAGCCAACCAACTTCTTGGCCAGAGAGAAACATGTGTGACTTCTCGCTGGTCGTTCGCGAAAATAAAATTTCAAACCGTTTGCAAATTATCGCGCAAATTAATCGCAGATCAATGAACATCGAACGGATGAAAAGACGAAGCGTGGATTATTTCATTTCTGCGCTAAACTCGCGAGGGAAGAACGGAATCGCGTCGTCGGTAGGGGAGCCGGTCTGAAAGCCGGGAAGGAAAAATAAAATGACCGAGGGAGGAGGAAGGGAAACACAACAATGGGCCATTTTATGGAAAAAGAGCCAGAGAGAAAGAGGCGAGCCGTGAGCGTAACGCCACTTTTGTCCAGCTGGCGTTTTCGCGAGCTCCCTCGCCCCCCTCGAGAGAGAGAAAGAGAGGGAGATTGGCCTTTGACAGTGCACAAAAGGCTATTGTCCGATGACCCGTTAAAAATCGCTGTCCGCCTAATCGGCCGAAGGTTGATTCGATAAAACGCTAAAGGGCAAGCCACGGCGAAATTTGCATCCTCCGTGCACGCAGCCTGCGGTGCAGTAAATCCATAGAGCACACCCCCCAAATGAAATCCCTCGTCGAGATTTTCCTTTTTCCTACTTCTCTCCTCCACTTTCCCCCGCCTCTGCCTTTTCTATATCGGCTCGATTAATTTCATCAACGGGTACGATGTCCCGCGATTACTATTTTTATTCCCTTCTTCGTCTGGCTGTAGATATTTGACCTTTCTACGTCCTATACGTTCCGGAGAATATCGAAGTGGCGAAAGTGAAGAGAATTTCAAAAGATCAACAAGACTCGGCGAGTTTTTCCGAATCGAAACTAGCGTAGATTTATATTTTCCAAGGTGAATGGAGACATATCTGCGTTTCGTAATATTTTTACGGTCAAGTAGAGACCTCGTTCAAAAGGGATAGCAGTTGGAAGTTGGTTGGCACGAAAGAGAGAAAGAGGGAGCATGTAATCAAAGCGACCGGTCTCGGAAGAAGATACGTGAAAGACACTAGAAAAATTCGTAGACCAAATTATATAGATTATAAAGAGAATATTTTCCGAACACTCGGTCGTTCTCACATCGTCGTAGACGATTGAAAACGCTTAGTGAGTTGTATAATGTTGTGTAACGAGTTGTACAATGAACCTGATGCTTCATTTGCGCGTCGAGCGCGAAGCCTGCCGAGAAAGAGAACTCAGTGAAGCCCGATTTCGAGCCGATTTCGCGATCGTCGACTCGACGAAGCAAGACTGCCCCCTCACCTCCCCCCGCCACGTATGTACACAGCGAGAGTATGTATCGAGCCTCGAATCGCCTCGGACCGATTTCCCCGAGATAACGCGCGCGATCGGAACCGACTACCTTAGGGCCATATCAAACTAAAAGCGCTATAGTTCAAAAAAAAAAAAAGAAAGAAAAAACGAATACATATCATTAGTTCTTAACTGGTGGCGCGATCCAAGTATACACGTGTATTGTAAAATGTAAGCGAACAAGAGAACAAAAGAACAAAAAAGAAAAAAAGAAACGACACATTAACAACTAATTTATTACACATTTACCGCATCTTATATACACGATATACATACAAAAATTGATACATATATATATATTGTATATATGAGATATATATATATATACATGATATATACACACGTGCGCATACAAATCGGTAAGTAGGAGATTAAGGTTTTGCTAAGACGATAAATCGCGTACGTACGATCGCGTGGATCACACACACACACACACACACACACACACAGCGGAGAACATCTAGAAGATGATGACACAGAAAGAGAAGAAAAAATCATGGTGATCCACGCGACCGTCGTCATAAAAAAAAAAAAAAAAAAAAAAAAAAAAAAAAAAAAAAAAAAAAAAAAAAAACTGTAAAGCAACGTTGAACCGAATGAAAGAGGACGATGCTCTATCGACAAAGATCCAGACAGTATTTTAAAAAAAAAAAAAAAAAGTGTCGTAGATTACTTACAATTAGTTCTCTGCGTATTATAATATCCACTCTCCTATACACCACATGACACACACACACACACACACACTGTTACACGTACTCGGCGAGCACGCGCAGAGATTTATCATAAATCGAGCGATATCTGTCAATCAAATGATAATATCTAGAAGCGAAATTATGAAGAAACGAGACGTTGGTTGGCGTGCTCGCGTAACAGACAACTGGACAAACATACTACACGTACACGTAAGGAAATATTATAATATCGTTGTCGATGTCCTAAGATTGTTAAACTGTGGAAACGCGGCTCGAGGCCGACGTCTCGACCGCGTGCCGCGTTTCCCGATCGTGTAATCCACGTTTCAATGATATTTATTATTTTTTATAATAGCGTATACCGTGTATGTGTTTCCTGTCGTGATTTACCCACGTTTCTCCTTACCTCGATAGATGTTAATAATGACACGCGCGCGCGCGGGAGAAGGCAGCAACGACGAAAAGAGGAAAAGAAAAGAAAAGAAAAGGGGAGGAAGAAAGAGACTCGATCCTCTGTTACTATTAGACGAGCTCTGTTCGACTAGTTTCCTTCGAACTTGCGTCCTTCGAATCGTTGCTACTTCGCCCGCCCCCTCCCTCCAGGAGTCTTATCAATTCCCTAATTATTGTGTTGTTACTCGAGAGTCATTGGCTCCGCGACGCGGGCCCCGATTGTTTAACTGCATATATGATCGTCGACCCTGGTCGTTGTCTGATGTAAATCCCCTCATTCGAAACGCTTCTTAACCCTTCTCCCCAGAAAGAGAGAGAGAGAGAGAGAGAGCAAGCTTGCGTCAAATGAAAAGCTTCAAAAAGAAAAAAAAAAAAGAAAAAGAAAAATACGAAAACGAGCAAGAAAAAAAAGAATTTCTCAGAGACTCTCAGAGAAGTCGCGCCCTCCGGAACTTGTCGTCGTTCTTAAACAAAGGTAGAAACTTTCGATGTTCACTAAACTATAGGCTTAAGCGATCCCATTTTAAGTGGGCGATCGATTCAACGGTTTAAACTAGCCAGGCCGCGAAGGGTTAAGAAGATTATCGAATTACCTGTGTCCACACACACACACACACACAGTGCAAGCACCTCGTAGCACCTTGTCGACAAATGAAAATACGCCATGGCGAAACACGCGAACGTTTGTCTTTGGAAGCGAACGAAATTCCGAGTAACCGACGAAGAAAAGAAAGAGAAAAAGAAAAAAAAAACGAGAATCATCAATTGGCGTTAAATACGATGACGCGACGAACGATCTTACGGGTTCATCGTCATTCTCCAAGTGTATATTCGTGTTGAAACGAACGTACGTGTCGTTGTTTAAATCGTCTACGCTCATTGCATGTGTCGCGTGCTTTATTGCAAATTATACCTCGTTCACCTGTGACGGATCGTCGAAATTAAATTACGTTGAAATCGTTTATTCTTCTCAAATTGTTAGCTCTGCTGGCCAAGATTGAACATTGACACTTCTCTTTGTTAAGTTTCCTTTGATCGATACTGACACTCAGGGTCTTACATACGTGAGAGTACTCTTTGCAACATAATCATCGTAGATGAAAGCAAGCTCGAAATAATTGGTGTGCCAGAGCCACGATAAGTTATCTCTTCTGACATCTAATAACAACAGAGTTATTATGTTAGCAGAAAATTCGCACAATTTCTACAGTAATTATTACAAATGATTATTGTATTTGTATTTATATTTTATCAGGTATTTTATCGACGATGAATTTTAAGAGGCTTCTTTTTCCTCCTCGTCCCGACTGCAACAAGCGTAATTATTCGACGCGTCTGTCACGCGTGATCCTCGGCATTAGTTACGCGTAAAACTAATGCGATGTGCAACAGAAAGCAATAAGTTGTCTTGCGTAGAACGAGCCTAAAGACACACGTACATACATAGTTGACTGATAGTTATGTAGTTTAAATAACGAACGAACAATTAGCGCACCTACCGCATCTCCATTGCGTTGTTTGCAAAACGTGCCCGATAAAAACGCGTAGATATATATATATATATATATATATATATATATATATATATATATATATATATATATCATTCGCGATCGATTATAGATAATTTAAGAACGAAATGAAGCAAGTATCGTTTATTATCGTGCGAGCACCTTGCGAAAACGCGTCTTGTCAAAGTGTGATTTCTCATCTTTAAGTAATCTAAGAAACGTTCGACCTTTGTCCGAATTTGAATCGAAGGAAATTCTTTGCCGGCCAAATGAATACGTTTTGATTAATCGCGAAGCTTTCTGCCTTACCCCGAGTGCAATTTATCGCGCTCGAGGTACAAACGAAATTTATTATTATCATTCGTTTGCAATTCCGTGAAATTTATGATGCATCTATTATTCAACAGAATCAAATCGGATAGATTCCTTTCGCGATTTCACGAGAGAGAAAAAGAGAGAGAGAAAGAGAAAGACACGTCGCAATAATTTAGCGTGAATATTCGACGTATACATAAATATTCGGTGTCGTCTTACACTTTTCGTTAGCCGAAACGAAGCTTTGTTCTGTCGATCGGCCAGCGTTTCGCACACGTTGGCCAAGAATTAATTAATCACAATTATCCGAGGAACATGTTCAATTTATCGTTGATCACGCTTGCTTTGCCATCAATCGGAACCAATTGGGCGAAACGCGAATTGCCTTCTGTCGAAACATCAATGCCAAATCCGAAGAGGATTATGTACCATAAATCTTTGTCAGCCGAGTATACCCGTGGCACGGAAACTAGTGGAAAAAAAAGAGAGAGAAAAAAAAAGTAAAAGCTCATTAATCTTTACGAAATACATCGAACTACGTAAGCATCTGCCAACATACGTACGTTGTCGTATTGTACGAGCAGTATCAACGAATTTATCAACTCGAACGGTTTGCCTTTGACACGGTAAAAGCGACAAAGTTCAATTACCATAATTTCCTCGAGAAAAGGACAATGGAGACGCGGTGGAGGAATGACCTGAGAAACACCCTTAACAGGGAGAAATTAGACATCGACACAAGTTTATACGTCGCTGGCTGTCGCATCGTCGTGAAACGAATGCGATCCATTCACTTCACGATTTTGAAAAAGATACAATCACGACTCGTTTCGACATTTACCGTGACGCATTGCCGTGACATCGTGGCCTTTGTTGCGCGTTAAACTCCATCAAGCACTGGCTAAATCTAGAAATTTCGTGCCACACTTGAATTTTAACTTTTCTTTTCTTCTGCTCGTTGAAAGAGGCAGTACCAAAGAAATATTTCATGGACTTGGGCTCGCTTAATTTTCTAAATTTAACAACACGATGAAGCTTGAAAGGACAAAGGTGGCCAAATTGGCAATTGTTACGTTCGTATGTTTCCTCCGTTGCTTGATGCACACGATACTGAATAATTACTTAGAACAACGGAAACTCCGAAAGCAATAACGTTCGTACTCGTTTCATCGATCGCTTGAACGTTTAAACATCCTGTTAATTTGCCAGATAGCGAGCAAGCTGGCAGAAGCCGGTAGATTTCACAGCTGCAGGTGTTCTTAATAATCTCTTGCGCTGGAATGACGTGCACGTAGACAATTTTTTGTCCTAAAATATATTAAAATATATTATAATGCGTTTTCTCAATTTTAAGTATAACCCAGGCAAAATAATAAATTTATTACTTATCAATAACTTCCATCCAGTGATATCATACCGACGAGTTCAAAAAGAAAGCGACGAATTGTTGCATACGGTTTGGTCACTCGTTATGGTCCGCAATCAGTTGCCAGCGCAAGTGGTTAATCGTATTAACACATATACATATACGTACCTTTTTGTAACTGTATTGTATGTATCGCAGCGTACGAACCAAAGAGATCGGTTGTTACTTATTAAAAAAAAAAAAAAAAAAAATCAATTATTGTAAACGACGTGCAAGCGAAATTAACTAAATTGACAATTTCAAAGGGATACTTCTTTTTATTGGTCCTTGCTCTTACGCCTTGATGAAGCAATGTATATACACAGTATGTTATCTTTCTCTCTCTCTTTCATTCTGCATACTCGAGACATCATTTACCAGAATCTAAAAAAAAAAAAAAAGAAATAAAAAGAAGATTTACAACTTGATTAAAGAAATTAAATTGCAGAAACTCGGACGCGTTTTTATTTTGGAGAAATTAATTTCGAACAAACTTTGTCAGAATGTTCAAAGAGAGAAGGTAATTTGCGATCTTGCTTTAACCGTCTTCGCCGTCTTGGACACTTCCGCAGACTCTGTTAACTAAAGTGTGTACAGCGTTTGTTTCAATGAAAGGAAAATATTATATTTTGTATAATTAGTTCGTGCTGTGAACCGAGCAACTCGTACCTGCTGGGCGAACAAGAGCAGAAAACGGGGAGAATACAAAGAAGATCCGAAGAAGTCGAGAAGAGAGCTCCCGAGACGATTACCAACGATTCGATGATTAGTTTTTAATCCCTTTTGTACGTTTATATGCAGTTAAATGACGTGTACATAATTATCTAAATCAGTGTTGTGAGATTAATGCGATTGCAATACCTACACACCGACCCCCATTAGCGGAAGGCATGTGCTTCGAATTATTATCCTTGAAATTTCGTGAGGTGATTAAAATGGTCCTTTCGAAACATCGTTGTCTCCTATCGTGTCGTCGATTTGTGGTAAAACCAGGTCCATTTGTTCTCTCGCCAACTACTTTCGCATCTCGAAGACTCTGTTTCTAAGACGAAGAAACTGCGTTTAATCTCAAATCGATGACATTAGGGAACGATTTTTCTTTTTCTTCATTACTGTCAAATTCCTCGAGTTGGTTACTTGTCACTTACTACCAACCCAATAAAACGACATAGTTTTCATTTTCAGAATATCAAAAAGTATCAAAACGGTTTTTTTCACTTGAGTGAAGTGAGTCCCTGAAGAAAATCATGGAACATGGAGCTGCTTCTCCTCCGGCGAAGTCGTGTTATATCGTGTTGATACTGCATCAAATTCGATTGAACAAATATTTCGTGGATTTGCGCGTGCGCGGGAAATTTAAATAACGAGATATATAGACGAGCGTACGTTGACGTTACGCTTCAATTTACTTTCGCACTTTTACCGACAGATGGCACGTGGTCACGAACGAACTAAAATCGCATCTCCATTGACACGTTGAAAATCGTCATACGAAACGAATGATAGTTTTAAACGAATATTTCGATAATTTTCTATTTGACAAAAATATTCTTTGTTCTTTGTACGATGTAAAAAATGTAAATCTGTATATAAATTTAAAGTTTGTTTTTTCATAAGAACGTAACCAGAAGCTAAAGTCACATGCTCATGATACATTTGGCGGTGAAATATTCAAAACGTTTGGAACGGATAACCTAAAATGTGACAGTATTAAACAAACGTCAAATATGAGTGGAATATTAGCAGTACACGTGAAAAAATTAAGTAAGTGTAAATTTTTTGTTGTACGGTATATCAAAGAGAAAAAACGCCGAAAATTCATCTTTCCAGGTCACAATATCGAGGAGATACGATTGAGAGCATTGGATAATATCATTTCGAAATACGATCTTGGTTTCGGTTGTGACTGCGATGCCGTGAGAAAGGAATTAATAATAAAATTATTTAATTGGTTTTCGTTTGAAACCTTCTCAGAAATACAGAAGGTTCTAAATTTATTACTTCATTTGTTGAAGGTACTTACAAATGATATCTGTTTCCATGAATCAATAATTGAAATATTTTTTAAAAACGACAATTGTGTCTCTAATCCGAAATTGGTGCTAATAGATTACAATATTTTATAAATAAAATTTTATTTTAACGCTCATAATGTATGTATGCTTTGTAAGACAGATGATAGAGGTTATTTAAATACATTTGGTAAACTAAGATTTCAAAATGAACTTCACGAACTAAGAAGAAGATTAGGCTCAGAATGGCATGAAAAATTAAATGAAATCGAAGAGGCTGTTCTTAATTCAGATAAACCTGAGGTGATACCACCAAACTCAAAAATAATCAATTTATATATTTGCTTTTGTAATATTTATAAGGATGCAACAAAACAATGTGTAAAACTTCTTTTTAAGGATCTTAGCTCTCCAGGAATAGAATTTATTGATTATGATGGGCACAGAACACGGGTAAAAGATCATGAATACGATAGAAATAATAAAACATATAGAAAAGAGGATTTTAACTTATCTAAAGACATACTTGCTACTACCTCAACCTTAAACAGGTAAATATTTTAAATATTTTCTTCATGCTATAATAATGATATCGTACATGTAATCTTTTTATTTTATTTTGTATCAAATTTCTTATGATCTTTTTCCTAATGCATATAATTTGTAGTACAGTACCATTTGATTTAACATTAGAATATGGAGAAGGAACTCCAATATCCAAAGCTACAGAAGGTGGTATTAAATGGTTAATAATGCCATGGCAACCTTTAGTCATGTCAGACAGAGGTGTCTTAGCAGCAGTTGAAGAAACTCTGAATAACACTTCAGACACAAATCTCATATTACATACGTGTCAGTTTATAACAAACGTGATGATGCAGGATTTTCCAGCAGAAGTTTTTCTTCAAAGACCAACAATTGTTTTTGTAAGTGTTTAATCTTTTTTATCAAAACAATATGTATTTATTGACTTTTATTGATATCTAATAATAATATTAAATTTCAGATACTGCATGATCTCTTAGAATCTAGTGCAAATACAATGAATGCCAATCTTAAAAATGTAGTATCAATGATATTGAAAACACTTTACAAATTAACACGATCTTTACGACTGCGAATTTACTATTACTGTGAGCCATGTATTGCAAATAAAAAGCAAAAAGTAAATAAATGCAGTTCAAATTATATATTTGATTGTATTGAGTAAGTATATATAGCATTATGTATTAATAAAAAATATATCTTTCAGTTATTAGTGGAAAAGTTAAGTAATTATTCTTCTTCTGAAACAAGAGATAGTCCAGACGGAGGATTTGCAGAAGTTAATTATCAAGCATATCAATCTACTGTAAGTACGCTTTACAAAACATATTTATGTATCTATTGATTTTTCATACGTTGCATAGGGAACAAGTGAAAGAAGTCAAAGTGCGTCAGATAACATTGATGATTCTGTTTTACAACTACAGCAAATGCTGATACCAACCTTTTGCATTGATACTTTAAAACGTGTTATAGCTCAATTAAGTATGTCCGACAATTCAGCATTTCTATTAAGAAACATTAAATACATAACAGATGTGGTATACGAACTGGTACAATTGCTTATCGTTAGTGTCATGCCAAATGTTTGGCTTTGTAACGATGATGTTGCTTTAAAAGTAATCGAGGACATGAAAACATTATTCGGCATGTTGGGAGATGTCTTGGAATATTTTGGAAGTTACAGCACGATGGATGATTTTAGGATAACGTATTTGCATTTTATAACTATTACAATGAATCTTTTAAGTCACATAGTTCCTTTAGAAATAGCAGATATTATCTTCCCTAAGTCGCTTAAAACATCAATATGTGTAGCTACAATGGATGCTGCTATTTATTTTTTATACCCAAAATTACACTCTACGTTACAAGAATATAGCCGTGTAAGTAACTTTTAATTTTTTGGCCAATAATATTGGTAACATATAGAATGGAATGAATATTGGTCTAATAATTTATTGTTTTCTGGATAGCAATTTCAAGGTAATGACGAAATTATGTACGTTAAAATATTTGATGAAACAAAGATAATCCTAAAATCAATGCAAGCAGCTATATTCTTAATAAAAAACACACATAATTCACCTCATTCGGAAGTTTTAAAAATGTTGTATGCTTCAAAATTGAGTTTACCTTATCATAAAAATTTTAATATTATTAAGAAAATTGTCGAATTTTTGCAAAATATGAATAGGTATGAATTCTTTTAAAATTTTATATATATGTATATTATTAAACTAACTTAATTATTAAAATATAATTTATTTAACTTTTAAGATATTCTTTAAGTGAAGAAGACCATACGTTAGCTATAAAATTAATATTAAATTTATTAGCAAACGCAGATACTGATATACAATATGCCATATACTTTGAATGTTATACTTTAGTTAAAAATATTCTAGGAGTAGAATATAATAGAGAAAAGTTATCATGGGAAAATTTGGCATTTTTATTTGAATCATCTGTGTTAATTGAAATCATATCTTATGGTGCAACACACGATGATAAAACGGTAAAATAAAATATTTAAAGTAAATTTAACTTAAGTGATACACAACAATCTTTTATATTTTTCTATTGTTAGATTAAGGAAATTTCCGAAGAAATATTAGTTTACATACTGAAAGGAAGATTACAAATGGGAGAAAATGGATGGTTAAAGTCACTAGAAGCCATAGTACCAGCGTTGCCTTTTTTACAGTGTCATGCTCATCCTTCTACAACTTTAGGTCAATGTGTAACAAAAATCTTTGATCCTGATGTTTCTAGTAATATACAGTTACCATATATCGAGGTAGTATACGATTTGCTGTTATACGCTATATTATGCTATATTTTTTATATTTGTAAATCTTCAAATAGTATAAAAAAAATGTGTTCATTTAAAAAGGTTTTCAAAGGTAATTTAAGATTCTTATTTTCACCAAATGAGGATATTAGAGATGAAGCCGTTTGTAGATTGATTTGGCTACTTGGGAAAGAAAAGGATTCCGTTAAGAAATTACCACGATTGTCATCATTACATGATTTACCCCTTAGCTCACTTTGTATATTTGATCGTCAGATAATTTTTAAAAAATCTGAGGGCAACTATCAGGTTACAAATTTTTATGTATTTTATGTATTTAAAGCTCATTCAGTGTATTGGAAAATTCACATATGATATACAAATTTTTACAGAGAAGTAATTTATTATCAGTACTTGAAATGCTAAATGAGCCAAATGTCGATCCTAAAATACGTAAATCAGCCTTAGTACAAATTAGCGTTATGCTTACAGATTCTTCTTTACACAAATTATTCATTACTGAAAATGGATTGTCGTTAATTTTAAACATATTTAACAGTGCTCTGGTAAGATTACATAATATGCTATATAATTCGTAAAAATTTTTCTAATTCTCTAATAGTTAACATCAATTTTAGATTGAAAAAGAATATATGAATTATCCAGATTCTGTCATTCCCATAATTACTATATTAAAACTATTAGCCTCTACTGAATATTCTTTACGTCATGATCTGTCCACTCGCATTAGCGTTCTTTCAAATATAATCAGAAGTAAGTGCAGTAAAGAAATATATTCAAGCAGACGAATTTTATTTGTGCACATTACTAAGAAATATTTTTTAGGTCTTTTTCTATTTTCGGACAATGAATGTATTAAAATTGATGGTTCACAGTTATTATGCTTATTACTTTATAATGAATGCATCATGAGACAAAATGAAAAATATGTAGAAAATTATAATCAACTAAATATTTCTTTGCCTTATATTATTGTATCTAAGATGAAATTACCATTCTTTTGTAAATCGCATTGGAAAATAAGTAGGCATAGACGATCAGATATCTCTGGTAAATCATAGTCTCTTGATTAAACATTTTACATATGATAATGTTGTGTCTTTTAAAATTTAATTCATATTCTTCAGTTCTTCATGGCAATAACTCACTGGTGTTAACATTTATAAGACAATATTGGATATGGGAATGGAACGATGGTATAAATGTACTTTGGAAAAATTTAAATGATCTTCACGATTCTGATGTGTCGAATAAGCTAAAAATTTTAGAAAACGAATTTTTAGTCCTACGTTTTAGCTTTCCTCACTATTGTTGTCAACAACAACTGTACAATATACAAAATTCAACTACCCATGATTCAGTCTCATGCGCACTTGACTTTCTTACAATGTAATCACATTCCTAATGATTGTTTGTAATTTAATTGCTTATAAACAGTTGTTTTTAATTCGTTGATAATTTTTTTTCTTTTTTTCTCTAGGTATATAAAGTTATGTAAGATGGAAAAGTGCCAAGAAATAAAGGATATAAGTTTATTACCTTGGGAACAAACGTTTGAGCGATTTTTACTTTCACATCCCGCAAGTAAAGAAGATTGTGATTTATTCGTTGAAGTTTTAAGTTTTCTACAACTCTATATTAATGTTACAAAAAATGGTAAAATTTAAACAAATTTAGAATTTATATCATTATTTATGTATTGTTTGAAACATAGTTAAAAATGATTCGTCTCACATAAACTAGGAAAATATGAATGGATTAATAAAATAATGACAAATATAACTAAATCGCTGGCTGAATTATTAAAAAGCTCGGAATTAGACAATCAAAATGTACATCAATCCATATTGAAGTTAGCTCGCACGTGCTCAGTTATAGGAAAAGCAGAAAAATCTACTCTAGAAAATCAAAATGTTTGGCTACACTTCATCGAATTAATTATCTCTACTTTATGTTTAGGAGACCAACAACATTTTTATAATTTGGGTGAATTTCTTTTTTTTTTTTTCATGTATGTGATATTACATATTTTCATTTAAATAAAAATAAATTAATTGTTTACAGCTTATCTTGATTGGTTATTAACATGTTTAACATATTTGATTGGAAAGTGTCATTGGACAAATTTTAAAAATTTATTGATATCATTAGGTAATACGTTAATCGAGCTGATTATATCCTTCCATGGGGCTGGAACAGTTAGCTTTATGGGCCTATCTATAACTAGAAATTCTATTATATGTCTCAATCATTTGTTATACCAAATGCAAATAAATTTTAACAAAAATGTAAGTATATGTCATCAAGTATTTCACAGCAATTTCTAGCTATTCATAGCGATGTCGTTAATGATGTTGTAAATTTTATTAGACTTTTGTACAATTTTGGTATGAAGAAGGTCGTATGTTAAATTGGTTACCCATGTTGTGGCAAAATCGTGATCCTTTAGTCCGTGCATCTGCTTTACAATTGTTAGCAGGTTTAATGAATAATTTGCATACAGCTTCGCAACTATTAAATTCTATAGCATTAGCACCCAGTGAATTATGTCAGACATTACTTCAATGTATTGCCAGCAGAGAAGAATCATGTATTGTTAGAGAGCAAGCTTGTTATGTACTTAGCAGTTTAATAAAAAATTGCAATTCTATCGTTTTTCAGTATGTAAGTAAATGTTACATTTTTTCTTTTCTTTTTTTTTTCATTATGGAAAATAAATCTTAAATTAAATATGACACTACTTACTTATATAGATGGATTCTCTGAAAGCAAATTCTATTTTAATATATGTAGAACAAAACAACATTTATTACGAAATAAGTGTACTATGTTCTAACGTCTTTATGTTTATTTCTTTGGACTATAATAATCAAGAAAAAAAGATTGGGAAAATCCCGTCCATTCACAGCGTACAGTCGAGTTGTACGTCATTGGTACCGCGTACCATTTCACATTTGTATAATTGTCAAGATGAATTGCAGAATTGTATGTGTATCTTTTAACATCTACTATTTAAAACGTTAGAAACGACTTGTAAGTGAAACATAAATATAAATATTAATCAATTATATTTAGTTTCCATCAGAGAATCAGCAACTACTGAGATGGATAATTATTTACAATTGGTAGCGACACCATCATTGATTACTGCTATATGTAGATTACTGAACAACTTAATACTTCTAGGAAAACAAGATGTTGTTCATCAAATTTATGAGCACTCTATTGATAAATACTTAATTGGGTAATTAAACTATCTATGTTTGGAAACATTTTAATATTTGTTTTCCTAAAATCAACACATTTCTCTAATGTATGCTTATAATTTTGTAGATGCGTTAATGAAATTCCTAATGATGTTGAAAGTAACAAAAATTTAACACATTATTGCGACATACTGGAAATGTATAGCAGTATTTGCACAGTTTTAACAAACTGTATTACAAACAGTAACGAATACGCTCTTATAGCTAGCTTTTCCCTTGACTCACTTTACATGTTATTTTGCTTTCTAAACATTGATTTATACTGTAAGTGAAAATTGAACAGAAATTAACTTTCATAATAAACCCTATGTAAAACGAATGATGTTTATGCAGGTAACGATACGTCGCAGTTGATATCTTTGCGAAATAAACTCTGGACCGAAGTTTTCAATTTTATAGCCATACTCTCTTTAACGGAAAACCAACATTTCGAAACGATACAGGCCGCTTTAGAATTGCGTGGTGCAGAAACTGTATTCTCGTCAATTTGTATTGCAATGAAGGATTCTAATCCACAGCTTCGTATCAGTGCTATAGGTTGCCTCACATTTCTGCTCTCCCAAGAAATTCAAAAAGATTCATTAGGAAAGAGCAGCATTTCAGTACAATTAGTGATAGATACTCCGTTAGCTCGATTGTCGAACGACAATGAAAATAATTTAAGAGGAATTATATCTGACGTTAATAAACTTTCTCTACGAAGCTTCAATGCACGTTCGACAAAGTCAAGTGGGAACGAGGATCCTCCAATTTGTGACATCGAAAGGAACGAAATTGCTATAAGCGAAGAGCTCTGTAACGTTTTGTTGCATTTATTTGTAGCTTATAATTACAACAAATCGAAGAGGAATAAGAAACTAAACGAGGACAAGGAGTTGATCATAAGCGCGCTTACAAATTTATTATGCGTGTCAAATACGGCGAAAAAGGTCGCATTGGAAGAGAATTTACCTGAAACCATTTTAATGATATTGAAAGAGTCATACGTCAGGTTGAATTTACAACCGTTCGAACTGTTCAAAAATCAAATCGATCGTGAGAAAAAGGTAATTAGATTGACGTTATTGACGTAGCGATCGGCCGAGAAATTTGCTAATGTTGGAATTTCCCAACACTTCTCTTGCGTATTAAGCTGAATGAACGTTTTCCCCGTGTTTTTATACAGATTCATCCATTGCTACTCGATATGAATGCTATTTTAATATTATTAATAAATTTCACGTACGGCAGTACAGTTGTTAAAGAAGCTCTAACAAAAGCTGGATTAGCAGATGTATTACATAAATTATGGGCTTGGATTGCATTAAGTAAAACAGTTTCAACCACCGCTTTGAAATTGCTGGCAAGCTATACTACAAAGTGTACCACAGGTATTGTTAACGTGAAAATATATACACTTATTACTAAGCAAATGAAGTAGCTGTTAGATGCCCTTGTTTAATTTTAGCAATTTAATTTTTTTAGCAGCACAATCGTTGACGTTAACGACTATCCTGCCAGGAACAGGACTTCGAAAAACTCCCAACACTCTCGCGCTTATACACGTGATCATACAGTTAGTTTGTAAAGAAATCGACAAGGCTGGTCAATTTTTTGACAATCATAAACTACACTTTGCATTCCACGTGTTGCGTAATGCAATACACGTTCACGAATGTAGAGTATCAATTTCAAAGGTAATTATAATTACGCTGTATGGATCTCCAAAGTAACATTCGTACATTGATATGCATCTCCTGCGATTAGAGCACTCTCCTGCAATTTTTTACGAAAATACATCCAATTACTACGAAACGAGCAAAACCATGGCCACTCGTTGAATTATACTGCTTGGAATTCTTAATTGACTTCACTTACTACGAAGAGGGTCAATTATGTGTGCCAAAGGTAGAATCAAATACTTTAATTCTTTTTTTCTTTTTCTTTTTTATACGCGTATACTGATTATTTCTTCAGGCTGTCGACGGCTTGGATGTCTTGTTCCAATTGTCAAAATATTCTTCGTCCTCTAATAGAATTCTTGCAATCTCCATATTGCGTAATCTCGCGTTTAACACGACTAATCGACCACGATTGCTCAGCTCAGGTAAGTTAGCATCTAGTAAGTATCACGTTATTTATTTAAATGATTCTTTTAATACGACACGAACATTTCAGTGGATTTTATTAACGTTCTGCACGACATATTTAAAAATGGTACTCTAGACGAAATTAGAATAGCAGGGTCTATGCTGTGGTCTCTGGTGTCCAACAATCAAAAAGGGAAATTAATCATACGAAGTGCTGGTTTTTCACAGAGTATACAAGAAGCTTTAGGTAGAATTACACTATTGAACGTGGATGAAGAGAAGGACGAAGAGGACCTAATTAAAATGCTACAATATATATTAAAAATCCTTAGTCCAGCAGATACTAAGACTGATTAAAATCAAGTAATTGTACATAGAAATTTTTTAATATAAGTATATGCATATATGTATCGCTGTTGCAGATATATTTTTACAATTATTAAATGCGATATTTTGTAACATATTTAATAATTTAAAAAAATAATATCATCAAACTCAATTACTAAAATATAGCGGTATGCAATATGAGTATTAAACTGTAGATTAATTGATATGACTTTGTACAAATTAAGTTGCTTCATTCTGCTAACGACATCTGTTTCTCGAGTTTCATTTGCACACATCCAATATGATTGAAGACAATGCGACTTAATTCTTATAATGCCCGCGTCTCGTATTACACGTTAATGAAATAAAGTGTGATATTCAGAAGTTAAATAGCGGATAAATTGACGATGACAATATTTACTGAATATTGAAGAACTGTTTTGCAATCATTTAAAGCTATATAAACACGTAATAACTTGAAACGTTTTTTTAAGAAAAAACAATTGGAAAATAGTCTTTCTAAAGGAAGAAAAGTCGGAAGGAGAAGATGGCACAAGAATACTATGTAATTTCAGTGCAAAACTATTGCAAATACGTTAAGCGTGTGAATTGTTAAAAATACAAGAAATTCTTTACGTTACATTTAAAACAGTTTATCATCGAAACAGGAATATTTTAAAGAAAATAAATTTAAAGAATTTTTCGCAAATATTGTAACAGCTTAACAGCATCGTGGAATAACGATCCTCACCTGTTACATCGAAGTGAAATACCAACAAGATATGCAGGATAGCCACCGAAAACAATTGTTCTACGTTGAAAAATTGACCGTTCAGAGAGGAATTTATCTAAAAACTACTGGATAAGTTATGTATATCTTTCACAAGATATTCACTCATTAATAATCAGAAATGTTTGATCCTGTTACTAACTTTCTCTTCCCAAAACAAGTGCGAACGAGTCTCCTGTATGTCTAACATTCCAAGAAATAATTAATGTCACGTACACACGTAAGGCTTGCATACGTAGAAAATGCCACTCGGATATTTGAAAATTGAAAGAATTTTGACCCGGAGACTTACATGGAATTATTATAAAATTATGCCAATGTTGCAAACGTTCAGCGTTCTTGCGTCAGAAATACCTAAACCTACCATAAATCTAGCATGCAAAATCTTAAATAACTGGATAAAACGAGCAAGGTCCTACGGCTGAAAGAGTAAATGAAAATTTAATTTTAATTTCAATGAAGAAGCGAAGGGATCAGATAAATGAGAGAGTGTTGATCTGCCAATGGACGGAACTTGCTGCAAAGGTCCGATTGACATTCGACAAACGGTGGATCGTTAATTGGCTATTATTTGATAGCGTGGGTGGGCTGTATTCTAAGACGAAGATCCTGCCTGCCCCTCCGTACGCACGCACGCACGAAGCAGCGGATTTAATGAAAGGTGGTGGTGCACTGTTGTGGCGTCGGTGCGCGCCGCGTTCGGCATTGTGTTCCAGCACGGCCGGTCACGTGACCGTCAAATGGATTTGCGTCAATGGTGACCTCCGCGTTCACGTACCTGATACTCCGCGCCCCGCTGTTCCCCAGACTCGGCGGACCTCGCCGAGAGAGAGACCCGTGGGACCAGCGCGCGCGGCCGCCAGAGATGAGGTAAGAAAGTCTCTCGTGTTAACACATTGTGGACAGGAGATGCGAATTCGCGTCTTTCAGTTTCAACTGTTTCTTTTTTTTTTTTTTTGCGTTGTAGGCAACGTTACATATAATTTATATTATATTATATTATATTATATTATAATATATTATATATATATAGTATAATATAATATATAATTATATTATATTATAATTTATATTATATATATATAATGTTATATAATTTTTCAAGAAGCAAGGAAATCGTTTCCACACCAGGAAACGTTACTAGAGGGTATTTTCATTTTATTTAATAAAACACCTCTAAAATGAAAAATAACTAATAATTTTAATTGTTAATAAAACAATACACTTGTTAAATGCTATACATTCTCTTGAACCCTTTCAATCACATATTAAATAATTCAAAGAAATACAAGGAAATACAGGCTGTATGTTTATCAGAGCGTACCGTCCTCAATGTGTTAATATAAATATAAAATACATGATAATTAAAATCTAAAATACATAATAAGCCTTAATATTACTATATATACATAATAATTATTAAATATTACTATAAAAAATATATAGTAATATCTCTAGAATTAAAGAAGTGCGTGTATGCATTGTGAAAAGTTTCTTTGTTGATCCAAAGATGTGCGGACCCTGGGAGCAGGTTGGGCGCGCCGAGTGCTGTTAAATGCTGAAACTGGAGAGAAGAGCTGGCTCGTGGGACCCCTGGAACGAGGAACAAGGGGATCTTTTGTCAAGATTGGATATCGCGAGAGAAAAACGTGCCACGATAAAACAGAAGGATTGCTCGAGTATAAAGAAATTTAGAAGTACATGGCAGAGGAAATAAAAGACAGATTGCAAGGGGGTGAAAAAAGGCAAAAGGATCGGTTTTTTTTTTTTCATATAGAAACCAGAAAAGCGTCGAAAAGAGTTGAGAAGCTTGGAAAACCAATTGAAAGAAGACTCGTTTGTCTTCCACGATGAAACAGTAAAACAATACTACGTAGAGCCACGTTGCCCTCTGTGATCTCGTTAGCACGTCCTTACTTTCCTCTTATTTCGGCCACGTGCGAGGAACGAATATCGTAACGGTACACGCGCGCGCAGCAATGACGCACGAGATTTCGTTCGTCAACGAGAGAAAAGATACCCGATGATACTCGTGTTCCCAGCGATTTTTTGTTGGATTTATCAGGCTCTTTCCACTCGTGTCACCTTCCCTCCCCCTCCCCCCCCCCTTTTCATCGCATCGAAATCCAAGGTCGCTGGTTTCACGCTTCTCGCCGATCACCGTGTTTCACGATCATCGATGAGAAGAACTGTGGAGAGCGTGCTCGTTTCTAGTATCTCTCCTTTGTTTGGACGAACAATTTCGATCGTCGTACGCTCAAATTCTTCGGGCAAACAACATTTGAAACGTTCTTCGAAAGAGCAAACCATGTTCGAACGAACGAAGAAACATCTTTTCTCTCTCGTTCTGACGCGTGTCACAATCTGAAGCGAGTCCGGTTTCCTGCGCCTAGCCTCAGGAGGAGGAACACGAGATCGAGCAACGAGCCACTTGGAGTGCACTTGATTCGGTTTTTTCACGAGGAAATTTTAAATTGCACATAAATGCATGAAAATGCGCGGCCTGACGACGACGGCAGTCTGACAACAGTCTAACGACATTTCAATACATATTAATGAGACTTCGTTCTGATTGGTGGCATTTATTACTCGCAAGAATGTTACGTGTATTCTACGCCGACTCTGGTCGCCAATAATATCGGAATATTCTTTTCTATTGCGTCAAATGCTGCGAATTCCTCCTAAGACGATTAAGGGAGTATTATTGGTAATCCGGCTTGTAAAAATCCACTTTTTTGAGATTTTTTTTTCTAAGGAAACCCATGATACGTTTTCGCACACAGATTTATTCATACTTAAAGAGTATTTACAATTTTCTTTTTAACGAAATTAATGAAAGTTGTGGAAATTATATAGCCTTGGGTGCTATGGCATACTTTTAAAAACGGGCTCGAATGGCTGACGTGATTCCGGTCCACCTGGTTGTTTGAAACTAAAAAACCAGAATGCATCTTAATTGGTATAAATATTGCTATCGAATGAATCACAGAAACGGCGAAATTTCGAAAATTTAAAAAAATGGCAGCATTCTGAAGTTAGAATGTCGATTTTCCTTGTGCTTTTTGTCCTTTGGGTGGTAAAAAAAAATAGAAAAAAAACATCAGATTTTGAAATCCATGGTTCACACGATAAGATACATCCGGTGAAGATCTCCTCCAAATTTCAAGTCAATCGATCAACTGAAACATGAGATATCAGCCAGTTCAAAAAGTATGGATCTGAGAAAAACACATTTGAAGTTCTTGTTGCCCGTTGTACAAAAATATTCATACTTACGAGCAATCGAGCAATACAAAAAATAAAATATTATAAAATAATAACAATATAAAAATATTATAATATTATAAAATAAAATATTTTTTGTGAAAAGCACGTTTGAAGTTCTTGTTACTCGTTGCACAAAGATATTCATACTTACGTACACCGTTTCATTTAAACATCTGTAACTTTGCTAATTTTACAAATTCAAACAAATCCTTGTACATGGACATTTTCGAAAGTTTATACTTTGAGAGGATGTAAAAAAAAAAAAAAGAAATTGATTTTTTTTAAGCCGGAGTACCAGAATTACTCCCTTAAAGCGCGTTGCGTGAAAAGGAGAAACCTGCGAAGTGTTCTGCATCGCGTGGACAACGAAACTGCGCCCTTACTCGAAGTCCTAATGAAGGCGAACCGAAGTGACAAGGAGTCGTATAGCGAAGCTACAAAAACTAGCTGGAAGATTCAAAGATTCTTATGGCGCGTGACTTGCGAAATTATTTGATAAGTGGATTTGTTTGTCGAGCTCGCGGACTGGGTTAATAAGGCTGGAAGTATCTCAAGGTTTCTATGAAATCTTTGCAGAATTAACGTGAACACGGCTTTATATAATGGGTCGCAATTGAGCTTGACAGTGTCGTGCAAAAGTCCTCGACTATCTGCATCAACTTACAACTTTCCAAAGACTCCTGTTCAAAGAGTTACAAAATAGACGCGTCACGCAAAAGGGGAAACGAATAATTTGACGAAATAATTAAAATAATTGAACGAATTGATGAATTAAATGTCCAAAAGCAGAACACAGCGTCCGTTTAGTGGAGAGGCTGGAAGACTTTTCCACAGTACTGTATCCACTTGTTGGGCCGTACTCTGCACGAGGTTCCACGTGAAATGCACGCCGAACTGGTTGCGCCTCTGTCTGATTCGTTCTTATTAAGCTCGATTGATTGATCGAATTGAATTTCAAATAGCTCTTCCTCTCTGCGTTTATTAATAGAACGCACAAATAAGAAAGCATCTTTCGTTCGAGG